CACAGCTCAGGAGTAAACTGTGAGCATCGCATAAAAGTTTCATGTTTGACAATAAAAAAGAAGTAAGAATGTAGGAGTAACAATGAAATGCAAAGTAGCATTAGACTATTTGTTACTGGCCCAAAAGAGCTAATATTAAGTAATGGAATGGTATCTGATATATGAATAAACGAAAGAACCTAACAGAATTTTTTTCTGATACCAAAAAAATAAGAAGATTGCATCATAGTATTCACTATTATACTCTCTATGACATGCTCAATTCATTTTCCCTCTGTAAAGATTGTAAGGTTATGTTCTTCCATTAAAGGGATGTAATCCTCTCTCTGTTACCCTTTTTATATATCCACCATTTTGCCCTTCCCCAACAAAAACAAAAATAAGGCTCACTTGCATGATTACAAAAATAAAGCTTCATGAGAGCATCAGGGGAGGACTACTGTACTTTTTATAAGCAAAGGAAAAGATCTAAATAACACTTAAGAAAAAAGGCATAATCAATAGCCAAGCAATCCCAACAGTACGTATTTTCCATCATGGGAAACTGCATTTCTTTCCATTGGCATTCATCAAAAGAAGACGGAATTGAACAGATAATAGAAGGGTTCAGGCACGTCGCTAATACAGAAGAAATATTATGTTATAGTCAGCTTCAAGTACTTGTCATTTTATCTTCAAGTTTATTTCCGGTGTAAGATTTCTTTTTAATCCCAATCCCACTCCTTGCTTCCAGTCCTTTCTCGTTCACTCTATAAATAAGAAGTATTGCAACATCTCTATACCTCAATCTAAGGGCACTATGGGGACAAACGAATAAACTTCATCAAAGAAGTATAGCAACATTCTAAAGGGACGGAAAAGATTTATAATCTCACTCCCAAACTTGCTCAACATAGACTACACAAGCTAGGCTAGAACATTAACGAAAAACACAATAAGATGTGGAAACATACAGAAAGAAAAACGTAAACCAAAGTTAAGTGCAATAACCACAAAAACCGTATTCACCAACTGAGCGCAAAAAATTTAATTCATCAATCAAGTTCAAAACTGAAAGTACATCACTACCTCATCCTTCAGCTGCTAAACTAATTAGATTTGAGATGGGAAAATAATTCGTTCAGCACATTTCGTTCGAGCCCAGGGCATCAACCCATGGATACGCATTTTCCACCATTGAGAGATGATGATATTCCCACTTTCGGCCCCCATTGGGAAAATTCTAATTGCACACATCATATTACAATTACTCACTTCTGACATAGCCTAACCTCCTAAGCCTGATAAAAAATACAATGTATGTTTTTTAGGACTGCAGATACTTAGCCTCCTATGAGACTTAGCACTCAAACTGACATAATCCTAATGCCAACAACAATTGTTATCCCATAATGTCTGGCAACTTTACTATTAAGACACACTCCCCAACCAAGTTGTTGTTTTCAGTCATGTGATACCAACAAATACATGTAAGACTAAGAAATTTGAACTTCGCACGAAATGGAAAAAGAAAATCGACCCTAAATACTAATATTAAGAGCAATACCTCAGGCGCCATCCAGTAAGGTGTTCCAACAACAGAATGTGTGTTAACATCTGCTTCAGTAAGTTTTGTGGCAACCCCGAAATCTGCAAGTTTGACGAGACCCTGAAAGTTTAAGTTCGATGAAGGAAATACTGGTTAAGCCATAAACGATCTAGAAAACACATATTGATGCATTCGCATACAAAGAGCATTAGAACTTGTTCAAGTAAAAAACTCCATAAAATATGAGTCCATGCAATCCGCAATCACATTATATTGCCATTCTATTCGCATTAGAAAAAAAAAAAAAAAAAAAAAAACCCTACCTTCTCTAAAACAAATTACAGCAATAAAAGGGAACCAGACAACTAGAATACAATGACATTGGCAAAATGATCAGAAAGCAGCCTGACAATATTTGGTATACCTCTTTTGTTGTCAAAATATTTGCCCCCTTGATATCTCGATGAATTACACCTTGTTCATGTAAATATACTAAACCTTCCAATACCTGATTACAGCATAGTACTAGATATTTATAACCAAAATGAACAGAAACTAACTGATAAAATGTCAGAACTTATAAAAACCTGGGCTATATAGACAGCTACCAAAGACTCTGGGAAAGGTCCAAACTTATTTGGTTTAATAATATTTGCAAGTGAACCATTCTCAACATACCTTCAAAAAAGGGAAAAAAATGGATTATGAGAATAATTTCCAGGTAAGTTGAAAAAATAGGGAAGTAGTTAAAATCTTTACTTACTCAAGAATAATGTGAAGATGAGTTTTTGTCTTCAAAGATCCAAGATATTTCACAATGTTCTTATGATTCAAATTCTGCAAGAGATAAGCCACATATCAATAAGAATAAAAGCAGAAATCAATTTAACAGTAGTGCAGTCTCATTTTAAAATGTTGCAGCATGAAGACCAAAGTAGAAAGTTGAAAGCATACAGCATAATGTGATACCAACATAACAACAATATGGAAAAGATGTGGTCATTATTTTTTTCATGCATTAAGTCTTGAACAATCACGAGATTGACATTCATAAATCCTAAAAAGAACACACTTTTGACCCACATAAACTCTGTTATTTGTGATCAAGGGTTTGAGCCACAAGAATGATGTTATTTTGAAATCAAACTTTTTAATTAGCACTAATTACAAAGTTTACCTAATATACACATCAAACAGACCCACCATTATCGCAGCTAACACTTTATACTAATTTCTTCGGATATATTTACTTCACAGTACCGGTAAATATAACACGCCAAAATTACCTTTAGCAAATCGATCTCTTGCTGTCATATTCCCATAAGCAGAAAATGATCGATGTCATGCAAGGAAAAAAAACAAGTGGTGAGTCGGAATTCGGGAAATCACAAGCAAACAATAGAAAGAAGACTAAGTTTCAGTCACATTAACTAATGAAAATCAGACCATAATAGTGTTAAGATCCTCCTGGGCAATGTTCTCTAGAGAGACTTGCTTGATTGCAACAAAATCTCCATTCTCCAAATCCAAGCCCTTGTACACTCTTCCATAAGCCCCCTTCCCAATTTCATCTCCAAGCATCTGCAATCAATATTATTATTTTTCATCAAAAATAAAATAAAATCAATTAAAGTAAAAATAAAAGGGGGCAATAAAACTGAACTCAGGGAGATAATTTTAGAAATGCGTACGTATTTGTTGTCGAGGGTTTTTGATTTGTGGAAGGCGGAAGTCGTCATTTGGCGAGCCATCTCCGCGTGTTCCTACGACCACGAAACCCTAATTGTCGGATAATTCTACCTCACCGTTATATTTGTACATTGTCGTTCATATGTACACAAATGGGATTCCGGAGGGTTAATCGGCAGATACGTGACCAGAAATCGGCGGCGGGAGGGAAATTTTCAGGAAGTGACCGGTGGTTCAGAGTTTCCCCGCGGAGGAGCTTCGTCACGCTCGGAGGAAGACGGAGGAGAGGATCGGGATATTAATTTTTTATTTATTTTATTCATTTCGTAAAGTTACACCTTTTTCTAATAATAAAAAAGTAAAAGAAAGGGTAGTTTTGTCCATGCAAAATATTTGCTATGGCCAGCCTGGCGCACACTTTGGTTTGCTACCCTTTTATGTTTATTAATAATTGAGTAAATTACAACCAACCCCTTGGGTATGGTAAAATTACAAAAAAAACCCTCATGTTTGGGTAATTACAACAACCCTCAACTATGAATTTTCTTACACGTCCACCCTTGCAGTTTCAAATTTAGTGGATCTTCTTGATTATATGGAATATTATCACTTTTGTACCCGTTTTATTCCATTCGAGCCCCACATTTTGAAGCAAGATGTTCATAAGATCTGTTTTTTGGCTTGTATATATCAGATTATGGTGCATCATAAACTGTATTTTTACACAGAATGAGTGCAAACTAGAGCACATTCTACGGAATTTAGATGATTATGTTGAATTTGACACCATAAGGGTGGAGGTGTAAGAAGATTCATAGTTGAGGGGTAGATTCATAGTTGATTTTTTTTTAATTATCCAAACAAGAGGGGTTTTTCGTAATTTAACCACACCTCAGGGGTGGTTGTAATTTATCATTAATAATTTAATTTTGCTTATTTGTATGAAATTTCAATAATAAAATCATTTTCCAAATTTTCAAGTAAATTCATTCAAAATCCAATTTTAACTCCGAATGTAGTAAATACAAGGAGCAATTTGCCATTGCACCTAGATATTTTTTAAAAAGATGAAAGATTTGTGAATAATTAGTAAGATATGTATGAGAATTGAGAAGAGAGAAGAGAGAAATAAGAGTATGATGTTGTCATATTTATATATTTCTAACGGGAAATTTTAGTTTTCATCCCTCAAGTTTGCATTGATTTCATATTTGGTCCTTCATGTTCATAAAAAACACATTTGATCATTTATGTTTTAATAATTTAACACTTTTTGTCATATCCGTTAATTTAATGTTCGTCCGTCAGTTAAGACAGTGATGGGCACATGCTTGATTCTGTTAGGTTTAGTGGAAAATTGACGAAAATAACTAAAATGTTGCATTTTTTAAACATGAGGGACGTAATGTGTTTTTTTGTGGACAAGAGGGACCAAATGTCAAATTAGTGCAACATTGAGGGATGAAAATTGTATTTTTTCCTATTTCTAACACATGTTGATTATTGTTGATATATGATAGGGGAAATTACAGTTTTCACCCCTCAAGTTTGCACCAATTTCACATTTGGTCCCCCATGTTTACAAAAAATGTATTTGGTCCCTCGTGTTCCAATAATTTAACATTTTTGGTCATTTCCGTCAATTTACCATTACTCCTTTAGTCAAGACAATGATGGTAACACGCTTATTCCGTTTGTTTTAACGGGAAACTGACCAAATAAACTAAAAATGTTGAATTTTTAAAACATAAAAGGACTAAATGTGTTTTTTGTAAACGTGGGTGACCAAATGTGAAATTTGTGCAATCTTGAAGGACAAAACTGTATTTTTCCCATACATGTTATCTAGACTAGTTCACAATAACTATTTTCTTTTTTTCTGTTTCCAACATTTGTTCTTTTAATCAATTTCGCAGAAGACTCGATGCCACTTTTTTTGGTCTCGAGTTTCACGTTTCCGTAAAGTCGTGTTTCTTCTTTAGCTCCAAAAGTTTCGACCACCTTTTCTCGACGGAGGCTGTATTCCTTGCACCTAAATCTGGCAACACATTCACTTTTAGTCGACCATTAGTTATATAAATAAAAATAAAATCATAATTGTTCGACTAATTTACACAAAATATTTTTCTTATTAGGGTGACCCGTAACTAGTATTTTTCTCCAATTTACAAAAGTGCCATTAGATTTCTTAAGTTGTCATAACGTTTATTACTTTTATATATAAGATAATACTTACGGTGCAATTTAGGTTCAGACTTCTCGCAAGATTCCGAGCAGGTCTCCTGCAAATAGGAGACGCAATTTTAAGGATTTTATTTATTGTGTAAAAAAAAATATAATGTTAGAATGTGATATTAAATATAAAAAAAATAGGTTGTCCTTAATTAATTACTATCACTGAAGTGGCCAATCGAATGGTATCTTGTATTAGTGAATCCAGATCAGCATCGGATCCTGGTTTTACATATATAACCTGCAAATTAATTAAAATATCATTGATAAATATTTAATTAAATTGTTATATAAACATACACAAATGAAAACACATGTAATTAATAATTTAACATAATTTTTTTATTGAATATTATCAATGATGCTTAAAACAATGGAGAAGAGTAACAATTTTCATCTATTTGTTCGT